CATCTTCCTACCTTGTCCTCTTCCTCCTAAATTTGGAGCATTGATTAAACTCATCTGATTCTAAAATTTACTGCTGGCATTTAAAAAGTGCAAAAAAAAAAGTATTATAGAGGGCCCTGCTAGTCTGTCTCTCCCAGGGTACCTCAAATTGTAATGCAGACCCCAACAATGAATTTGTTGTACAGGATCCTGGTTGTTCTAAGTAAAATATTCTCATGGAAATGTTTTCGTTTTTTTTTGTAATGTCGACATTGAGGTAAAACCTGTTAATGATGCTTCCAACTCAGCCATGGCCAACAGTCTCTCGCATATCTTTTATTTATATCTAAGGGACTGACTGTCCAAAAAAAACAAGAAACACTACATTTTCATCTTAAGTAATTGTTGCAGAAAAATGTACTAAATGAAAAACTCCCATTCCTGTCCACCCACAGAAAGCAGAAAAGAAATATAAATTGCACTTTTCAAGCAGAAGTTATACCTATAATTATCTGACGGCAGGCATAAAACTCTATTCAAATGTATTTTAACTTGGAATAAAATCCTCGATTAGAAGCATGTTCTTTAAAAATGGTCATTCGTACTCTGTGTTATGCTTTGAGATTTTATACACTCTGAATACGGGAGCATTAAGCATTAAAGGTCACTGTCAGCATTAGAAGGTTTCAACCTCATTGCAAAGATTATGGTTCAGTGAGAAACTCTGCACCCAATCTCCCTGCTGAGTGTGGCTTATAACTGTACAAATGTTTAAAAATCATTACTGCTATTAGTTGGCTCCCATGGCACCGACACAGCATTGGAGGAGTTAGTTCTATGTAACGTGTGTGGGTATCTTCCCCAGGAGTGCTGATACCACTGGGTACCATTGGGAAAGGGAAGGGGATGAGAGGGGTAAGATGCCCCTCAGCCAATATTATGTACCTGTTAAAATTATATATTTTACTGTTTAGGGAAATACAATAAAAATTAAACATATTTTAAAGGAGTTGGTTATCTCCTCCACATTTTCAAACAATTCCATTTCAACAAAAATGTCAGAAAATATGTTTATTAAATGTTTTATTTTTTGTGTGCAAACTTTCATATTTCTATATAATAAAAGGCAAAGTCAGTTAGCTTAAATATGTGTATACCCCATTCTACTGACAGGGAATCATTTTGCCTATGGAACAACGTTTGGTTTAACATATTCTCCCTGAGAAACAAATATTTGTTACGAAAGACTGTCTTCGACCCAGATTTTCTTTGTTATCTAAGCTAATGGCCACATTTGCTTTACTGTGACCTCGTGTGGTGTTTTAATAGCAATCTGCCCTAAAGGGACACTACTCTCATTGAGTGTCCGTATCACCTTAACCTTGCAATGTAACATATTACAGTTTCAGAGAACCTGCAAGGTTTATATTGCACGGTTAAGACAACCTCTAGTTTCGGACTACCAGACATCCAGTTGAGGCGCTTCCTGGACTCTAACGGAGTTTACAGGTTTGTATTCCTAAGGCTATGCACATTCCATCCAGGCTATTATAAGTACTTACCAGCCAAACTATATTATATCAGTGCAGTGAACCCAGGATTCCTGGTCATCTAGTTCAGGGTATATGTGAATTATGTTCGCTTCCATGCTCCATTTAGCTGCTCTTTCGCTTTACTACTACACACATAGAGCTATGAAGGATGCCATTGTGGTACAAGCTGTGTGTAATATAGTGCATAATATCAGTAAGGAAGATAAAACTATGCCAACTGCAAAAAAAGCTCTACCAGCCAATTCGCCATTGATGAAAAACAATTTGCAAAGTGTATAAATCATGGCTACCTAAAAGAGGCCCCCCAATTGGGACACTGATGGAGGAAAAGGGGCGGGCCAGCGATGCGATCATTTCACTAGCCCTGCCACCAAAGGGGCAGTCGTTTCCAGGAAGTCGGCGGGTCCACTTGAGTTAATTGCAGGCCAACCTGTCTTGAATGCATGTCAGGCTGTCTGTCCATCACTCAAGCAGGCCCACAGAGGGCAGACCCTGAAAGGAGCACAGTTTCAGTGCTGTCTGCAGGGTCCTAGTGCCCTGAACATAGCAGAAACACATCTAATGATGCGCGTGCACTATGCTTGTTAGGGTCAGTTCCATGTAACTAAGGCGGTACAGCAGACAGGATGCAAAAATCGGGACTGTCTCTCCATAATCGGGATGGATGTGAGGCATGCCGAAAAATATGAGAAAGGATATCCCTTGTACCTTCTACTATTAATGCTAGTGAATACATGCTTGGGTAAAAAATCAAGATCCAATCTATGGCATTGTATGGCTAGGTGCATTATCAGGTTAAATATTATTTACACTGGCGTTATGTATATATTTTACAGTACACTGATAGCAGAATTTTATATCCAGTTGGTTCACATATCAAACGAGAACAAGTAACTAACAGAGGGAAAAAAAGGAGCAGTAAAATATATAAATATATATATATATATATTTTTTTTAATATGTATTATATATTTTTTATTAAAATATGTATTATATAAATATATATATATTTTCCCTATATTGGTTACTTCTCACTTGATCTGTGGATAAAATTAACATTTAGTGACGGTCCCCCAGCCAGACTGTCCCCCAGCCATCAATTGTCTCTGTTTCCCATCAATCACAATAAACACATTCAGCAATTTGCAGATTTTGGTAACACGCAATTTGGGTACATTTCAGCTTTGAGTTCGGGAATTCAACCAATCGCATAATCGGCTAGAATTCTGCCGAATTTCAGTTTGCACTGAAACGAATCTCCAAGCCTATTAATTACTTTTACAGCAATAAAAAAGCGATATCAAATTTTTTTTTTTTTTAAAAACATATTTGATCTTCACAGTATCACAGTTTTATGTTATGGCTAATACGACCCTTGCATGATCTCGTCTATAGCATTTATGTGGATTACTCAAGCTCTAACGGAGGCTTATAATCAATACTAAAGTACATTTCCATGTATCGTTAATGCAAATCTCCAGGGCACGCTTTTCTAACGTATATCATAAAAGCGTAATTTAAAGCACAGAAACAACATTTTATTGCCAATCTTTGCAAGGTTTAAATAAGGAAATGTTTACTACGGTTTGCAGCATGTAATATTTTTTAAACTACCATATTATCGTAACTATTTATTTACATAGCACGTAAAAATTCCAAAAAGTTCCGTTAGCAGCAAACCACATTTAATTTTATTTTTCAGATCTCGCAAATACATATTTGTTTAATATAGAGGATAAAAAAAATGTGACGTTTCCCCTTTAATTTGACAGTGAGAAACCGCTACAGTAAATTTTATAGTGCCCTGTCGGCAAGCTTGCAGTCGAAAGTTGCTTTGCATTGTGTTGTTCAGTCTTGTAGAACGCAAAATGTTAATGGGTGCCAAGAATGATTTATTTCGGTTGAGCAATAGTTGCAAATCGTTCAAGCTGCGCTGAACTGAGGTAGAACTTCCCGCAGTTAAAGTATTATACATTGAGGGCTAAAAAGGAACGAGGAGCATTTTAAAGTAGGTGCATAGTGGAAATATACCAAACAACTTCTCTTTTCTGAAGAATTTGCTTTGAGTTTCTTTTATATCCAATAGTATCGTGTGCCTAGCTTTCAGGCTGAAAACAAAAATATCATAGATTTAAAAAAATCTCAGTAAACCACGGGGACACCATGTAAGGCAAAAACAACATTCTTTAATATTTTAAAAAAATAATACCAATAATAAAAACCTTCAAGCAGAAAACACATAAATATAAAATAAAAGTGTAGAAATCAATATAAACAAAAAATCCAAAGTCAGAGAGTTTTACCAAAGTATACTTCATCTTTTAAAAATAAAATATAACTTTAGTTTTTAATTAAGTCTCTGTGTATATGTGTATTTTCTTTCACAACTATTGTGTATAAAACGTGAAGGGTTAATTGGTGGAAATTCATACATTGTAGGCCACAATAGCCAAATTGTAAATTATCAACTTCGAAATCAATTTGACTACTTTGGCCAACAATGTAAATTCACTTTGAATTGTAGTCAATTGACACTTTAGTGGATAACATGAAAGCAAACATATATAATTCCCTATTCAACTATGACATGTAGCCAGGCCACCAATTCCCTAATTCTGAATTCAATACTTCAGCAACCTCTAGATAAGAATTTTGTTTTTTTATTTTATGCATTTTGATTGCCATTGATGGCTGGTCATTCTTAATAAAGCTTAATTTATAGGTTTTTAAACTGACAAATAATGTGTTTTCATATTGTAAATTTAAAATAGAACCATTAAAGAACAACGGTCATTATATTTTTCACTTTTTGTTTTTTAAAAATGTATTATATTTAATGAAACTTAATGATTTTTTTGATAAATATATATAGATTTTGTTTGTTTTTTAGAAAATGTAACTTTTTATCTGGCTGAGCAGTTCATTAAATGTGGTAATTAAAAAAAAAAAAAGAAAAAGAATGAGAAATGAAAATTTGATGCAAGATGTCCTTTAACTAGGGTTGTTGAGATCACAAAAATTTCGGGGTAGACACATAGAAGAATATAAACCAGAAACAACAGCATAAATAAAGTCTGTATGCTCTTACATACAAAGCTGGCAGAATAGATGGATCAACTGTTTTTCATCTGCTATCAAAAAAAAATATTTTGACACATTGACACATCAGTAAAGGGGAATTCTCAGATTAATATAATGAAGATGTTTAATATGCATTTAATGATTTGGCTTACTTAAAATCTGCATGCATTGCCTTCTAAACCAAGTGTTACACATATTGTAGTAACGGCTTGTAGTAAGTAGCTTGGGCAGTCATAAAAATGCACGTTGAAATCTATCAGCATTGATGCTACCTAAATTCCACAATCAACATTCACACAAACTAGTAGGTGTCATTGTATTAAATATGTGGACTAAAAAGGACATGGGTATAGATGTCCCGAACGGTTCGCGAACGTTTCGCCACAGACTCATCATTCCAGCCAATCAGCAGCAGACCCTCCCTCCCAGACCCTCCCACCTCCTGGACAGCATCCATTTTGAAGCTGCATTCTTAGTGAGCTGTCCAGGAGTTGGGAGGGTCTGGGAGGGAGGGTCTGCTGCTGATTGGCTGGAATGATGAGTCCGTGGCGAACCGTTCGGCGAATCGTTCGCGGTGAAACGTTCGCGAACCGTTCGGGACATCACTAGACATGGGACAAAAATAAACAGGTTTAGTATAAAAGAAGAAAGGTATGGACATAGAAAGTAATGTTGAATGAGTCTGGTATTCGAAGTGTAAACCGATGCATTTCTATGACAAATTGTATATTCTTACTGCAGCGTTGAGGAGCTAAATGATTGCCCCATGTTTTATGTCAGCATTCTATCATTAGGATACACCACATTCTTTAACTGGGTTGGCAGAATATATCAAAGTCTACTTACCACTAATACTCGAGAGGAGAGAGCATTATTCTACTGCATGGTTAGTTCTTCAAAAAATACACGTTCGGTATCTGCCGATGTTATAGATTTTGAGCAGTAATATTTTATTTTATTTTTGCCAATATATTTTTCAATTGCCGGCTAATAATTTACCATCACTTCTCACACAGTGATCAGTTTGTTATATTGCTGTAGGACATTCTGATATATGGTAGGGGTCTTCATTGGCAGACTCTACCAGTTTCGATAAGCAAGGTGTAAGGATACCTGTAACAGAGAAAATGAATCTGCCGCCTGCAACCTTGACATATGGTATTTTCTCTGCACCAGATTCACATTGTGTCATACTCCCAGTTGGCTGTTGATATTTGATAGATAACATTTGTCAGTTAAAGAACTTTGATTCCGTCAGGGAAAGGAAGGCAACTCATTATTTTAATTTACCTTCTGGTGTCTTCCTCATTGTGCTTTAATTTAAGGCATACAAATAAGGTTACTCCTGAAATATTAAAGGAACGCTAAAATTGTATTCCTAATGCTGTAGTAAGCCCCTCTCACATACTAGGTTCCCTTCTGCAAGATAACCAAGACTATGAAATTAAGTTAAAAAAAAAATTTAATTAAATTACCTGATTCCAGTGCTGAGGTCCCTTCGTGCTGCCTCAGTATCTTCCTCCCATGACGTCACAGCAATGGAGAACCTTATGTGCATGCGTGGCGAGCGCCACATGTGCATTAGGCCTTTCTCATGGGAAAGTATTGAATCAATGCTTTCCTACAAGGATTTTGGTGATGCTGGATGTCCTAATGCATAGCATGATTTTGTGCAAAGCATGAGGACATCCTTTCTTCCTTTCACAGAGTTAAACTCTGTGAAAAGCCAGGAAGCGCCTCTAGTGGCTGTCTGGAAGAGAGTAACTATAGGCAGTCTTAACCTTGCAATATAAACATTGCTGTTTCTCTAAAATGGTTACATTGCAGGGTTAAGGGAACAGGAACACTTCACTCAGATCACTTCATTGAAATGAAGCTGTAACAGCTGTTAGTTAATTGTTTTCTTAAAAATTTAAGTGGAATGGGGGAATACATGGGTTCTTGGACAGACTTTGGTCATTTTTATGGTGTGCAAATTGACCATTAACAGAGAAATTTAAGAGGTGGGCAGACAAAGACTTTTTGAAGTTAACATTTAATAGTGATTTGGAAAAGTGTAAATCCTAGTCTTTATAACTTGTTTGTTTCACTTGGGTCATGATTTACTTCTCTATTCTTCTCTCAAAGTCCTTCCCCTCCGATCTCCAGGAATCTTTCCTTGTTGCATCTATACAGTTGTGATCAAAATCATTCCACCCTTTATTGAAAATCATGTTTATTGTCAAAATGTAAAGACTTATGTTGCAATGAACAAATGAAACAAATATTATCTGAAATAGCTCAACACAACAAATGCTTCAAGTGGTTTCTCCAAATTCAACTTAAAATGCACGTTATAATGACTTATCCAGTCTCAACCTTATTCAACTGACTGTATTCACCCACAAGTACTTAAGGAGCTAAGTGGGGAAATAAGTGAACCTCTGTATTTAATTTTTCAAGATTCTTTTGTTTCAGGTGTTGTACCGGAGGATTGGAGGAAGGCAGATGTTGTTCCTATATTTAAAAAGGGTTCAAAATCCTTGCCTGGAAATTATAGACCTGTGAGCTTAACTTCTGTAACTGGGAAAATATTTGAAGGGCTTTAAGGGATAATATTCAGGAATTCATTGGGAAGAACTTTGTTATTAGCAATAATCAGCATGGTTTTATGAAACATAGGTCATGTCAAACTAACCTAATTGCATTCTACGAAGAAGTAAGTAGAAGTATAGATCAGGGTGTTGCAGTGAATGTGATCTACTTGGATTTTGCCAAGGCATTTGATATGGTTCCTCACAATAGGTTATTCTTCAAACTAAAAGAAATTGATCTAGATGAATATTCTTGTTATTGGGTAGAACATTGGCTTAAGGATAGAGTACAATGAGTTGTCATTAATGGTAAATTTTAATGCTGGACAAAAGTGGTAAGTGGTGTCCCTCAGGGTTCTATGTTTTAGAATCACTTCCTATTTAACATATTTATAAATGATCTTGAAATATAGGCATTGGAAAAAGCCATGTATCAAAGTGCTTGCAGATGACACAAAACTCTGTAAAGTAATAAAATGTGAGCAGGATATTGCTTTGCTGCAGAGAGATTTGGGTAGATTGGGGGACTGGGCACTAAAATGGCAGATGAAATTTAACATAGAGAAATGCAAAGTTATGCACTTCGGGTTAAGAATGCACAAGCAACTTACACACTAAATGGTAGTGAATTAGGGATAACCACACACGAGAAGGATTTGGGAATTGTTATAGACAACAAATTAGGCAGCAATATGCAATGTCAATCTGCAGTTGCTAAGGCCAGTAAGATTTTGTCACGTATAAATAGGGGTATAAATTCTCGGGATGAAAATATAATTCTGCCTCTTTATAAATCGCTGGTAAGACCACACCTTGAATATGCTGTGCAATTTTGAGCGCCTGTTCTAAAGAAGGATATCATGGCACTGGAGAGTGTCCAGAGACGAGCTACAAAATTGATAAAAGGAATGGAGTATTTTAATTATGAAGAAAGGTTACAAAAATTAAATCTGTTTCGTTTGGAAAAACGGCGCCTGAGAGGGGATATGATAACTTTATACAAATATATTCGGGGCCAGTACAAACCTTTATCTGGAAATCAATTCATAAACAGGGTTATACATAGGACACGAGGTCACACATGTAGGCTGGAAGAAAGGAGATTTCATCTAAAGCAAAGAAAAGGTTTTTTTTTACAGTAAGAACAATAAAGATATGGAATTCTCTGCCTGAAGAGGTGGTTTTGTCAGAGTCCATACAGATGTTTAAACTGAAATTGGATAAATACTTACAAAAACATAACATACAGGGATATAATTTCTAATTAGTGGGGTAATACTTGATTGATCCAAGGAGACATCTGACTGCTATTTTGGGGTCAAGAAGGAATTTTTTCCTAGTTTGTGGCAAAATTGGAAGTGCTTCAGATCAGGTTTTTTGCCTTCTTTTGGATCAACAGCAACAACATTTCTGAGGAAGGCTGAACTTGATGGACGCAAGTCTCTTTTCAGCTATGTAACTATGTAACTATGTAACTATGCTTAAGATTAGAAGCGGCTGAAAAGCATTTCTCACACTCAGAACAACAATATTTTTTTTTTAACATTCTCTCCACTTTGAACGAAATGACGTTTGGGAAGACATTTTGTATGAGTAGGTTTTTCATGTACGAAACGGGAACATGATTTAGATCCTTGGTAAGTTTTGCGAGATCCAATAGTGTGAATGTAGGGGGAACAGTCAATCCATACCTGCCAAGTGACCCTATGTAGGAGGAACAGTCTCTATTCTGCTCTGTGTCAGTGTGTATCATGGTCTCTGAGGACAGGTGTCAATCCATATCTGCCAAGTGACCCTATGTAGGAGGAACAGTCTCTATTCTGCTCTGTGTCAGTGTGTGTCATGGTCTCTGAGGACAGGTGTCAATCCATATCTGCCAAGTGACCCTATGTAGGAGGAACAGTCTCTATTCTGCTCTGTGTCAGTGTGTATCAGGGGCTCTGAGGACAGGTGTCAATCCATATCTGCCAAGTGACCCTATGTAGTAGAACAGTCTCTATTCTGCTCTGTGTCAGTGTGTATCATGGTCTCTGAGGACAGGTGTCAATCCATATCTGCCAAGTGACCCTATGTAGGAGAACAGTCTCTATTCTGCTCTGTGTCAGTGTGTATCATGATCTCTGAGGACAGGTGTCAATCCATATCTGCCAAGTGACCCTATGTAGGGAACAGTCTCTATTCTGCTCTGTGTCAGTGTGTATCATGATCTCTGAGGACAGGTGTCAATCCATATCTGCCAAGTGACCCTATGTAGGAGGAACAGTCTCTATTTTGCTCTGTGTCAGTGTATATCAGGGGCTCTGAGGACAGGTGTCAATCCATATCTGCCAAGTGACCCTATGTAGGAGGAACAGTCTCTATTCTGCTCTGTGTCAGTGTGTATCAGGGTCTCTGAGGACAGGTGTCAATCCATATGTCAAGGTGTCAATATGTCATATGTCAATCCATATCCATTGTGATTTAGGAATGTTAGGTGATTTATGCCCTTTATGGATTAAGAGCAGACTCTGCATCAACTGTGTAATTTTCCATGGGTGTTTTGCCATGGATCCCCCTCCGGCATGCCACAGTCCAGGTGTTAGTCCCCTTGAAACAACTTTTCCATCACTATTGTGGCCAGAAAGAGTCCCTGTGTGTTTTAAAATTCGCCTGCCCATTGAAGTCTATGGCGGTTCGCCCGGTTCGCCAGTTCACGAACATTTGTGGAAGTTCGCGTTCGCCGTTCGCGAACCGAAAAATTTTGTGTTCACGACATCACTAGTTATAAACTATTAAGAGTACAATTCACATTTTATTGAACAAAACTCTTAATGATAACAGTATTTTATTTAACCCCTTAAGGACCAAACTTCTGGAATAAAAGGGAATCATGATATGTCACACATGTCATGTGTCCTTAAGGGGTTAAACATAAAAAAACTTTCAATGCACTGTTCCAAATTATTACGCACAGTATGTTTCAAAACACTT